TTAGGAGCTCTTGTTGTGCCTATTGTGGTGTATGAGGGTCGTGGGGGTGTGTTGTGGTGTGGTTGGTGTGGGTGGGGGGGGGGGGGGGGGGTGGGCGGTGTTATTTTTAACTTAATAGGGGGGGGTTAGAACTATTTTTTTTTTTATTTGGGAGGGGGGGTACTGTCTAAGTTTTTGCTAGATAACTCTAGTTTTTCAGCCCCCCCTCCCCCCCCCTCTCCTAATAATTATTGCACAGTCCCTAACAACTAGTTATTCACGTTTCAGGGGAAATTGCGAAAGAAATTCACGGATTAAAGACCGTTAACTTTCCAATCTCATTCTCCAAAGATAAAACCGGCATAAAATTGAGCCAAATAACAAAAAACAAAAATCAGTTCACGCAAACCGGTGCAGTTCACGAATTACGTTTATAAATCAAGTCTTCCTTCACGTGTCACGTTAAAGTCCAATAACGCTTTCACGTTCAGCACGAAAAAATTGTCTTGGGATGGGCAATCACGAATCACGAATAAATAAAACTTAAATCACGTTTCACGAGATAAAAAAAAAAAAACAATTAAACTTAGGTCTTTTGCGAAAGGTTTGATAAGGTCCGAATATCGATTGTTGAGGCGTCAACTTTGTTGACAATGATTTTCACTGCGTCGCTAGGCGAGCCCTTCTATCGATCATCAACCTCATTTAGTCTTGATACTCGCGTTTCTGCCAACTTCGTGTCTGTTGGCACCGAGACAATTAACAAAGCCCTGATGACCCCCTCCCCCTCTTGCTCATCATTTATGAGTTGCAGTTGTTGCTAAAATAGTTGATTTTTCTTACCAACATTGTTTTCTTGACGACAAAATCCCGAATACTTTTTGAAGTACTAGTGGGCAATTCTAATTTTGAAACAAGCGGAAATATGTAAATGTGATCATTTAAGCACGGATGTAGGGTGCACAATAACAGGGAAATGAACTTAGGCCTGTTAAATATACGTAATAAATGAGAAAAGCTGTTTTGCACTAAGGAAAGTGTACTCTTTATGGCCGACCACCAAGATTACGTACGATTTCCATAAGTCATCGATTTTCCATATTCCACTGACACGACATGGGGAGCTTTTTCAATGCCAGTTTCTCCACGTCTTCTCCGAGTACACTTTCCAAGACTTTACAAACTATTGTTTTATGTCCAACATTCGTAGCAAACTTGTTAGGGAACGTCTGCGTTTGCCTGGCTGTTGCTCGTGTGCGCTCCCTCAAACTTAGGCCTAGCTCCTCTATCCTTGCCAGCCTAGCGGTCTCAGACCTCTTCATGTCATCCTTCCTCGTCTTCCGTTTAATCTGGTTATACGACTTGAAAGCAGCGTCTCAGGTTTGCCAATGGTTCTTAGTTTTGCTGGGAGCACTAACGTACATAAGTATTCTTCATATTTGCTTTCTCAGCTGCGATCGCTATGTCGCCGTTGTTTATCCGCTTCGGTACATGACAATCATAACCAATCGACTTATCAAATGGACCCTGATGATGTGCTGGTGTGCTCCAACGCTATCTCTACTGATGGTTCCCATGGTATATCAGAAGGCTGGCCGTGCGTCATTCAGGTCAAGCTTGCTTGGTTGTTCTGTTTCGGACAGCACCAGTGATGAGCCTTCACTCTTTCACGGAGTCCATCTTGTCTTCAACATCTCTTTTTTTGTCTTGATTCCTTTCGTCATGATGTTGTTTGTTTACAGTCGTATCGCTAAGATCTCCTGGTCCCAGAGCCACCGACTTGAACCCGGAGAAAACTTGAATCCCGAAACTGCTGAGTTGAGGAGAAGGAAAAGAAAAGAGATGAAATGGATGAAGACTATAGGTATGATATCTACCCTACTTCAATTTTTGTCAATTGCATGCTAGTCTCGCTTGGGGTGCAAGGGGTCTGAGGGCTTTGCCTCCAGCGGCCCCTCCCTCCCCTCACCTCCCCTGCCTTATTACAGCCACCAGGCTAGGAGATTAAACAATATAGTAATTAAAATAAATGTATTCATTGCCAGAAATAGTGGACATTTCGCGCCCGTGATTAATTGTCAGCGGAATCTCATTTCCAAAATGGCGGACAAAAACGATCGTAGTCAGGGAAAGCGTATCCCCTGGGATTTTTTAAATAATTTGAGCTCTGTGGATCTGTTTTACGAAGAAAAAAGCTGGAATGAAACTTCTTGCAAGAAATTGTTAGGTTTATACTCGGCCGAGCGGCTGATAGCAACAAAACAGTACGCGGCTGTACCTTTCGTGACATTTTCGTGACATTTTCGTGACAATATTTTGTTTTAAAACCAAGCCTGGTATTCTAATCGAGGATTTTTGAATGCCTGGAACCTAGTTTATATCCCGTGAAGCATCTCTGGAGTTGTAGCAACAACCAAAATGGCGATTCGGTGAGGTTTGGAGTTGTGAAGCTTTGTCCGACCGAAATAAGTCATTCGCAACTATGGCGTCCATTACTGGACTACAGATGGAAAACTGAGGGAAATAATGCGCCTTTGGAAGTATTTTCCAGTGCAAAAATCGTCCTTTTAACGACTGTTTTGGAAACATCTTCCATCGCAGAAGTGATATCGAGTCGTGCAAATTTACTTCAGTGAAGGGTTTATCCTCTAATCGACGAGTATTTCGCATGACTTCGGCAAGATTTTAAGACAATGTATGGAGAAATGGAGCGTACAACGAGAGATAAAAGTGGCCACTTCGGGAAGTAAGTAAACCTACTTCTAATTAGCTATTTTTAACCCAGATGCGAAGGTTGCACAGCACTTAACATGTTTCGAGTCGTGCACCGAACACCCGTGAGCTCATAATCGATATATTTGAAAAAGTTTCCTTTTCTCCATACATTTTCTTATACGAATTCGCAGCCATTGTGGCCTTGGTGCGCACGCGCAACCGCCATCTTGTCCCTAATTTCTGGCAATGAGTATGAGTGGGCATTGTGACAGTGACTCGCAATCCGGTGTTCCCGGTTTCGAATCCAGCTCTGACCACTTGCTGTTCTCGGTTGTCCGGAGTTCAAAACCTCGGCTACGCTCGTAAAAAGCCAACGGGCATGGTTGTCTCCTGTCAGTTAGGCTTTTTATCCCTGTTGTGTTTCTATTTGTTTGTTTCTAATTATTTAAGTGGAGTGCCTGTAAACTAGCTGGATGAGCTAAGTGCACTCTCCACTATAAACAAACCTTCAACTTTTAAGCTGTTTTTAACTGATTATCTCAACAGTTATGGTCCTTGGTTTGTTCGCTCTTTGCTATCTTCCGGGATTCGTCTCCGTGGTAGTCTCAGTCAAAACCGGCATGAGTCGAATCCCTGTGGTACTCCGAGACACTGTTGTACTTCTGATAGTGGTGCAGAGCGTGCTCAACCCAATTATTTACATGGTCAGATCGAACGAGTTCAAGCGTGCTTTCCTGAAATTTTTCGGAAGAGCTCCTGTTGTACCCCAGGTTGAAAGAAATAACACCCTGACCGCGCGTTCCCCTCCGTCACGTATAGAACTATCAGTTGTATGCCATGTGCGAAATGATCGCGGCGTGCCATCGTTATTAGTTCAACCAATCCAGGAAACTCCTCTAGCGGCAAAAATTGCTGGAGCATTCCTGACTAACCCGTCCCTCCATCTGTCACTTGACTATTGCCATGACGATCGTCGACCATCATTCCTAGCTGTCCCAACTCCTGATCCTTCATCTCCATCGAGGGAACAGATTGAACATTTCTTTGACAATGTGAGCTTCCGCTTCTAGATTCTTAGTCTATAGTCTATCTCGATTAGAAGGAACAGAAAGTGCAGTATTAATCAATCCTCAGAACTTCCTGTTTCGGAAGACTGTAAGACTTTCCTGGTGACAAAGAGACAATGGGGCCGAGTGGACAGTCCATCCGGAAGTCCCTGGTTCGATTTCCGTTCTAATAACAAGCTGGATCTCGTCCATCCCTTGAAGGTAATCCAAGACAGTCTGGGATTCCGGATTCCACGCTGAGGATTCCAGATTTCCAGGTTTTCTTGATTCCGGATTTTCTGTCAGTGGAACTTGAATTCCGGATTCCAAAAACTGGATTAAGCTCCAAAGCCCAGGATTTCCGATTCGACAAGCAAAAATTTCTCGGATTACCTTACATGGGGCCAGGCGATGGATTGGATCTGATCTTAATGACTTCCTACCGTGTCAATCCATGGGAAGGCCCGCATCGATGGATGGTCTCAATGGGGTTAACCGCCAGCCGTCAAAAAAGGTTACTTTTTACCGTCAACCGTCAAAAATGCAGATTGATATTAATTGTCCAAAAATTTTAAGGCATTTCAGTCTTGCCTTTTTTAGTATTTCAGCTGATCATCATGGACTTCTGGCGCCTGAAGAATCCAGCTCTAAAATGGAAAACCACTTTCCATGTGCTCAAAAACACCCCTTCTAGACTTTACAAGACCTTAGAAATTGTTTATATCTGAAATTATTTCGAAATTTTATAACTGAAAGGACAAGACAACCTCCAAAACACAACAATTAATATGACTTTATTCAGAAGTTAATATTTACTAAAACTCTTGGACGAATTTTCCGCTTAATAACAGTTAACCGTTAAAATCGGTGAAAATTAACCGCCAACCGTGAAAGCTATCACCCTGTTGAGACTCTCATGATGAAACTCTAAGAACGGTGATCTGCGTCCCAGACGCTGGTTATTTTTATGGTTTAAGGCTGATTTAGCAAAGAAAGCTAGGGAATGTCAGTTGACGACGGAAAAGCGCGCGGAAAGGACTGAACGCCACTTCAGGTGCCCGATTTTCCGCTCTGCTATTGGTCAAGCCAGTTCTTCTATTTGCGCGCCGCCATCAAGTGACGTTCCCGTTCTGTTGCTAGGAGCTCAGGGTACGCGAGGGGAACACGTCCGTGAGCGCGCGCGTCCTTGCAATTTCTCCCTTCGCCCTATCTAATAGACGGTCTGCGTGGGAGGCTATGTAATTTATTTGGAATATTTTTTTCTACTTTTTTGAGTGTAGTGCCTCTAAACTAACTGGAACAGCCAACTGCACATAAAAACCCAGTTATAACCCGGTTTCCCCCTTAGCCAAGCCGCACCTTACACAAAGGAGATTGATAAGATCGCTTCAGCTTACTTCTGCGAAATATTTACACATACTTTATTGAAGTGTCGTCTATGCATTCGAATAAACCTTGAAATTTATGCAACATATATTTACATGGGCATCATCTATTTATTCTGCTCAAGACGTCAAGACTGCGAAGTAAAAAAATCATCAAGCAAAACATCCTCTGCGCCATTTAATGATTGTATTGTTGTTCTTGGCTGTAACTGGGTATTATATACTTCATTTCCGTACTCGTCGATCTGAAAAACTTTGAGAACTTCTGGCGTCGCTTCAAACAAAGTGAAAGCTCCAGAATTACCATGAAAAAATCTAAAAATGCAAAAAAAGTATTACTCTTTATTCAGGGACTTTTTATCTGTAGAATAAAGAGACATTAGGAAGTCATTAGAGTGAACGATCGATCTTCGATCAAATTATGTTGCTCATGCACTTTGTTAAAGGGACGCTTCGCTGTTAATAAAAACTTAAAACCTTAAGACCTTAAGATTTTTCGTCAGTTACTGCTTGTAATGTCCACCCAAACAATCCCAGAAATCCTCGTCCCGACTGCTTGTACCTATTCCCCCTTGTCAATACAATTTGTTCACGTCTCGCCATGTTTCCTTAACGTATTCTCTCTTGGTATGAGAGAATACGTTCATCGTTATTTGTTAACTACTTGGCGCTTATGTCAGCATGTTTGACCGATAACAAAGCAACCCATAGCGATGGAAATATAATTTAACTTATATCTCATCGGCGCACGACTTACTTGAGTGAATTGCCAAGCATTCTTTTGTGCAGCATGTACGAATTGTAAAAGTTACCGTTACCCGTCACAATGTAATGCACATTCGACTGATCCTCCTTGATGTGCTACAAGAAAAATGAGAAATTCAGTTACATTATTCCTTATACAGTCAACCATGTTCTAAGCCAACCTCTATTAACCATGAGCACCATTCATCGAGGGGTCACTTGCTGCCAAAGTCCCAGAAACGGTTTCATTACAGTGGATGATTCAGGGGAGGGGCCTGGGGGGGGGGGGGGG